TATATCTCAATAAAATAAATTTCTAAAATGAATGAATGTGGGCAATGTGCCATCTTTATCCCAATGCGAGCCTCCTAATTTTAGAGATGAGAATAGTGAGCCTGAGAAGCCTGGAATGGTGATGGTTTTAAGTGATCACTTTTTTAAATTTTTTTATTTTTTTAATGTTTACATTTTGAGAGACAGAGAGAGATAGAGCATGAGCAGGGGAGGGGCAGAAAGAGAGGAAGTCACAGACTCCAAAGCAGGCTCCAGGCTCTGAGCTGTAAGCACATAGCCTGATGTGGGGCTCGAACTTAGGAACCGTGAGATCATGACCTGAGCTGAAGTCAGACACGTAACCAACGGAGCCACCCAGGCGCCCTTCTAAGTGATTAAAGTGAGAGTTCAGCTAAATCTGCTCAGGTGTTCTGAGTTGTGTCTGGCTTTGTGCAGTTGTGTTTTGGTGGCTGTGACATAGACTTCGATTCTTCACCCCTGACCTTGGGTTCTTGCCATTCTAGCCTATACCATTTCTAGAAGAGGAACACTGGTGCTCTTGAAAACTAACCATCCTTGCAGGGATGAAATGGCCTGCAAATCACTGAGTCAAGTGCCAGTTCAAAAAATGTATAAATGTTGTTAATCACTTTGTTATTGACTCTATATATAATTAATGCAATTTATACTATATAGTCGTCTAAGAATAGAGGAAAATATTTGCAAACAGTGATGGTAGAGAGTGAGGAGAAAAGGACAGTGGCTCTCATCCCCACCCAGCTCCTATGATTGTAACTTGATGGACACACAGAATTCAAGATGGCGTGAAAAAAAATACAGGAAGATTAAGTGGTCTATGGCTTTTCTTAACATAGCACAAATCAATAATGTGATATCAATTCCTGTTAACATTGAGGGATTTACATGTCTGATGTCCATTAGTATGAAGTACTCTTTCCTGCCAGGACCCATTTTTATACATTTGAAGAGTTGTTTCACACTCGCAGTCAGTCTTTTGCATAGCTGAGAGAATACAGGATGGTCATGGTATTTTCTTTCTTTTTTTTTTTCTCTTTTAAAAATTTTTTTTTTAATGTATTTATTTCTAGGAGAGAGAGAGAGAGACAGCGTGAGCAGGGGAGGGTCAGAGAGAGAGGGAGTCACAGACTGAAACAGGCTCCAGGCTCTGAGCTGGCAGTCAGCACAGAGCCCGATGCGGGGCTCAAACCCACGAACCGCGAGATCATGACCTAAGCGAAAGTCGGACGCTTAACCGACTAAGCCACCCAGGCGCCCCAGTCATGGTATTTTCTTAAGCGATTAAATATTAATTGCCAGATTTTACATCAATATTTCTCCAAAACTTGTTTTTGATTTCTTGGGCTTCCTAACCCTCACCTTAGGTATCTAGTTTGTCTGCATAGTTCAAGGAGTAAGAGTCTGTCTTTCTGCTAGAAAATGATCACTTTTTCAAAGTTGTCGAAGGGGCACCTGGGTGGCTCAGTCAGTTAAGCATCTGGCTTCGGCTCAAGTCATGATCTCATGGTTCGTGGGTTCGAGCCCCATGTTGGACTCTGTGCTGACAGCTAGCTCAGAGCTTGGAGCTGTTTCAGATTCTGTATCTCCCTCTCTCTTTGACACTCCCCCTGCCCACGCTATCCGCCCCCCCCTCTCTCTCAGAAATAAAACATTAAAAAACATCAAAAACTAAAACAAAGTTGTGGTATCATATGCCTTCAGTTATTTGACCAATCAGAGAGCCAGAACTGCCCTTAGAAATACTTCAGATTGAGAGAGTTAGCAAATAAAAGAAGACCCCATTAAGAATTTCAGCTAAATAACAAATTTTTTGAGTACAAGCATGTTGTAGGTGTTGCAGGGGATATACTTATACTAAAAATGATTTGTTGTTTACCTGAAATTCAGATTGAACTGGATGTCCCATATCGTATCTGGCAACCCTAGACCCAAGCTCCTGGGGAGTCCCCTTACTGGGCCCTGGGCTTTAGAGACTGCCCACCAGTGCCCCTGAGGGCAAGGAGTCCTTGGCACCAAATGGACATACCCATCCATTCCTGTACCCCTGTTGTATAGACCGTGCACTGGGTGGGTACCTGCGGCTGCAAAATCCCCCACCTAAACTATGTGTTCAGGGTCTTTGGTCTTGTCCCCAAGCAGCCCTAGTCCAGAAGTATGACCATGGGGTGGCTGATGGGGACGGGGGGTTGGGAAGGGATATATAGCCAAGATGCTCATATGGAAAAGCATGCCAGGCCCACGTGGATATAGGACAGGACCCGAGGTGAAAAGACCAAGACAGAAGAGAAAGTCAGGGCCTCCGTTTGTACCCTTCCTTGCTCCAGGCCCCACAAAGAGCCTGCGGAGAGCACCAGACCATGCACGCCTTTCGTGTGCTTTCTGCCATCTGATGGGGAACGTGTACAATGGGGGCAGAGTACATACACGTGTCCACTTATTATATAGAGCTTCTATTTCTGTCCTTTCCAATATTTTTATTTGCTTCAATTCATTTGCTTTTGGGGAAACTTTATAAATTTCACCAGTAGATAGGTATTTCAAAAAAACTTCAAGAATTTTTTAATGTTTATTTATTTTTGAGAGAGGAAGAGTGGGAGAACGGCAGAGAGGGGGCGAGGCCCAGAATTGGAAACAGGCCCCCGGCTCTGAGCTGTCGGCACAGAGCACAATGCAGGGCTCAAACTTACAGACCATGAGATCATGACCTGAGCCGAAGCCGGACACTTAACCGACTGAGCCACCCAGGCGTCCCTTGAAAACAACAACAACAACAACAACAACACATCCATGACACCATTAACAACAGCAACACTACAAAGTAAAGCTAGTGTCTCTCTCCTGTACTGAGTGAGCCTTTTAAGGGATGAGTCAGCTAAATGCACCCAGGTGCTCTGTTTAAGTGCTCGCTACTCTCCAGGGATTCCTCGGAGCGCTAAAACATACGCTCTGTTTATATCAGAAGTAACAGTGGGAGTTGTAAGTGCAGATTCTGTTTGTCAGGAAAAAAAATTAAGTAGGAAGAAGACACAAGAGAAAAGCAGGCTCCTGTGGGAATATCCCGTATTAGGTGGTTTATGGTACGAACAGTGCTTATTCAACCTCACAGAGAAAAGGAAGTTAATACTTGCCTAAGGCTGAAGGTTGCATGAACCTGCCTGCATTGGTACGGGACAGACAGGGATTTTTGAAATGGCATGTTGTATCTGTTAGGGTTGCTTTGGGCTCCGTGTAGCAGGGACCAACCATAGTGGCTTAAAGAAGTCAGGCATTTATTTTATCCCTGTAAGAAGCAGCTCCATGATGTCACTGAAGACCCAGGTTCATTCTGTCTTTCTGCTCCGCCATCTTTGCTTGGCTTGTGGCTTTCATCCTCATGCTTGCTAGGTGGCGGCTGGTCTTCTCGCAGGAAGGGGGTGGAAGGGGAAGGAAGAGTGAAATAATGTGGCCACGTCTGTCCTCCTTTACAATGATTTCTTGGGGAGCCTGGCTGGCGCAGTCAGCTGAGCATCCAACTCCCCCAATTTCCGCTCAGGTCATGATCCCAGGTTATGGGATTGACCCCAGCCTGGGGTTCGGGGCTGAGCGTGGAGCCTGCTTGGGATTCTCTCTCTCTCTCTCTCTCTCTGCCCCTTCCCTTCTTACAGTCTCTCTCTCTCTAAAAGAAAAATTCTTGAAGGTTCCAGTTAGCAAGCTTTGCTTGTATCTCATTGGGCATTCCTGTGTCAGAGAGCCACGCCCAGCTGCAAGGGACTCTGGAGTGACCAGCATTTCAGCCGGACACACGGCTCCCCCAAACAATATGTGGGTTCTTTTAGGAAGGAAAACGGGAAAACTGGGTATCGGGTAGGGCGTTAGCTGTCTCCGTCCCAGGTGTGAGCAAGCATATAAAGTCTTCAAAAAAAAAAAAAGAAAAAAGTTAAACAGATAAAAATAGAGTAAATACTATTTTCAACCAACACTATTTTCAAGTGCTATTTATTTGTCCAAAAGTTAGTCTATAGGTTGAGATAGCAGGTAGTCAACGATTCTTTACCACATTACAGAACTTCCTGCCAATGCCAAAATTTACCTTGCTGTTACATTTTATTTATTTATTTATTTTTAAATGTTTTATTTATTTCTAGGAGAGAGAGAGACAGCGTGAACAGGGGAGGGTCAGAGAGAGAGGGAGTCACAGACTGAAACAGGCTCCAGGCTCTGAGCTGGCAGTCAGCACAGAGCCCGACGCGGGGCTCGAACCCACGAACCGCGAGATCATGACCTAAGCGAAAGTCGGACGCTTAACCGACTAAGCCACCCAGGCGCCCCTGCTGTTACATTTTAAAAATCATTTAGAAATTATTTTACGTTTATTGAGAGAGAAAGAGAGAGCGCGCACTTGGGGAAGGGGTAGGAGAGAGAGGGAGAAAAAGAATCCCAAGCAGGCTCCATGCCGCCTTCAGCACAGGGCCCAACTTGGGGCTCAGTCTTACCAACCATGAGATCACGACCTGAGCCCTTTGGTTAAAAACTTAATTCATTTCAGAATGCTGCCTTTAATCCTGCACTCAAAACAGGCCTTATTACATGAAAACCTGCCGAATCTGTCACCGAAAAAGTCGCACTGTGTGTGGAAAGACAGAACTACACAATTTTTTGAGAGATTCTTTTTAACTTTCCCCTCTTTGCTCGTTTCGGACCCAGTGATTGCAGCTATCACAGGATATTGTTTTGGCCACAGGAGCCCATGAAGACTCCGGGGAGAAAAGAGCCATTGCCATTTCTGATACCCTTCCAGTGTCTTCTACTCAGTAGCACACAAGAGCAGGTGCTCGGGAAGGCAGAGGAAGGGCCTCTTCGGTGCCTGAGGAAACTTTTGATATTATAAATAACTTGGGGGTGGGACGCCAACGCCAGCCGGGTTCGCGAGCCGGCTGCACGCAGCCTCCATGGTCGAGCCCACCTCCTCGCCCCCGCGCGCTCCGCAGCCGGCCGCCGAGACCCCACCCGAGCGAGCCCGGCCCTCCCGGCCCCGGCGCCGCCCGCCGCGCCGACGTGGCCGAGCGCACAGGTCTGCCGGGTCAGGTGGTTGGGTGACGCCCCGGGAAAGCGCTCCCCGCCGAGGGCGGGCGGCGCCGCCGCGCCGACGCCTCCGGGGGAGGGGACTTCGCGGGAGTCGCGGGCGGAGGCGAGGAGGAGCGCGGCGCGGCGGGCAGGCGTGCGATCGGCGCGGGACTGTCGGCGGAGGCGCAGAGGACCGAGGCGGTGGGCGGGAGACATGGACCGCGGCGAGCAAGGTGAGGGCGCGGGCACCGCCGGCGCGGCGTCTCCGGGGCGGGCGCGGCGGCCCGGCGCCCGAGCAGGTGCACGGTGTCCCCGGCCGGCGCCGGAGCGGGAGCCGAGCCTTCTTCAAGTTGCACGTCCCCCATCGGGGTCTGGCATCCCGGTGCGGCCGAGCTGCAGGGAGCGGCTCCGGCGGGCGGAGCGGGCTGATGGGGGCGCGCGCGCACGGGCGCGCGCCGCTGTGTGTGTGTGCGTGTGCGTGTGTGCGCGCGAGAGAAAGAGAGAGAGGCAGCGTCAGAGATAGAGAGACAGAGAAGGAGGTGGGGAGAGAGAGGGGGGAAGAAGGTTCTGGGTGGAGACGAAGGGGCTGGCGCCAGGCTCGCGGAGCCCTGGCAGCCGACTGTGATGCGCTTTGGGTAGAAGGCGGCGCGAAGGGAGTAACTGTACTGCTAGCTAGCTCTTGTTAACTGGTGGAAACTGAGGAACCGACGACAGTGGGTGGGGGGAGGGGGGTTCGCTGCTCAGGATGGGAACGTGACTCCTCCCTCCGCCCGGACTACCCCAGTATTGACACTTTCAGCCCTCTTGTAGTTCACGTGGTTAGGATTTTTGGTGGCATTTGATCCTATGGCGATTGTTTTGGACGTAGATACGTAACATCCGAGGTGTCCCCAGATTGTGGTGTGATGTCTGTGGGGTTATTGGCGGGGGGTAGAGGGGGAGAGGGAGCTTTTCGTAGTAAGGGTCTTCTTTTACTCATCAAGCTAAGACCCTATAGTCTCATTACTATCGCTTTGGAGTCACTTGTTCTGAAAAGTATCTCAAGTGAAATTGTCTGCAATCGATCATTGTTTAAGAGAGATAGAAATAGAGCATGTTTTTAAGATTTAAATATTACATGTTTGCGGCGCCTGGGTGGCTCAGTCGGTTAAGCGTCTGGCTTGGTCTCAGGTCATGGTCTCACGGGTGGTGGGTTCGAGCCCCGCGTCGGGCTCTGTGCTGACAGCTAGCTCAGAATCTGGAGCCTGCTTCAGATTCTGTGTCTCCCTCTCTCTATGCCCCTCCCTTGCTCACGCTGTCTCTTTCTCTCTCTCTCTCTCAAAAATAAATAAAATATAAAAAAAATAAATACATATTAAATGTTTATGTATTGCTTCATCTTTGTGAATAACCCAGTAACTGTAATACAGGTGCGGGTGCGTGGCTAGCTCTTTAAAACATACATAAGTGCTAACCCAAAAAAGGTAACAATGTTAAGGTAAATTTTAGGAAGCGGGGATAGGAATTAACTCACATTTTGAGTTCAGACACAATAGTTTTCATTTTTTTATTACTCTTTGTATTTCTCTTTGTACATACTTTTCATGTAAATAAAACCATATTCCATATATCTTATTTTGTATTTTACTTTAGATAAGTTGTAGGAATCTTTGAAACCTTTCAACTGTTCCTTTCTCCACACTCCTCAAATTGATCTCACACTTAGCATATGAGGGCTTATACTATATAAACATAACATAATGTTTATACTATGTACAATATGTAATGGCATTATATATGTATATATGTATAGTGTATAATATATATTCAATATGTATATATCTGTATGCACACGTTATCTAGATTTTAAGCTTATTGAGGTTAGAAGCATATACTTCATCTTTATCCATGGTTGGGTAAACCTTGGTGTTTGAACACGGTAGGTATTTAAATGTTTGAGTCAGAGAGCTGTTCTCAGGTCTTAAACGTATTGTTAGGAGAAGGCCTAGCCACCGTGGAAGTCAGCATTATTCTGTCTGTCTTTTACTGAGGGTGTTGGGGGTGTCAAACAGGCCAAGATGCATATTTGTATATGCCTCACGTTGTCATATTTAACGTAATGTTTTTAGACTAGCTGTGTTTGGTACTTGTCAAACTAGCCTAAATAGCTGTATCTGATTTAGGGAAATGAGTGACTGATTTTATTAGATTTGGTATTTTAGTTTGGCTGCTGAGAATCACAGTCATTAGCACCTCTGTCCGGATGCACTTAGTGTGGTTTTTGTAAGACCAGTTTTTCGTGTGTATGTCTAAGGCCTATTTTATAAATTCTTTGGCTTGTAGGAGGAGTTCTTCTGTTTCTAACTTTACGATGCTTTCTTCGGCCAGTCATGTTAGTTCTTGTTTTTAATTGTTATTCCTCGAGGGCAAAGGAAATCCATCCTCTCACAGTGAGGACTTAGAGTGAAAGAGGAGTCGCCTGCCTCGGGCGGGTCAGGTGGCTTGCTCAGCTCTCCTGTGCCGCAGCCGCGTGGCTTTTCCCTACATTGCCATCTTCCCGTCTCTTTTGCATTTTCTTTTCTTTTTTTTCTTTCTTTTTTTCTTTTTCTTTTTTTTTTTTTTATTTTCTAGGAGCGCGAGAGAGAGACAGCGTGAGCAGGGGAGGGTCAGAGAGAGAGGGAGACACAGACTCTGAAACAGGCTCCAGGCTCTGAGCTGGCAGTCAGCACAGAGCCCGACGCGGGGCTTGAACCCACGAACCGCGAGATCATGACCTAAGCGAAAGTCGGACGCTTAATCGACTAAGCCACCCAGGCGCCTCTCTTTTGCATTTTCATCTTTATGTTCCCATGGCACAAAGCAGATGCTCAGAAACGTTTGGTGACCGCCTAGGATGAAAAGAAAAAGGGACCAAGGGCGCCCTCCAGCTGTTGAAACTTCTGGTGTCCTCTCTTGTTACCCACTTAACTCCTGGCCTTTTCCTTCTCAGAATTTTAAAGGAGCTGAGCTCTGCGGTTAGGCGGAGAAAGCTGGCATTAAGTCTGTGTTGGACTTGGAGGGTGGATGCGCATGTGAGGTGTTGAACTAGCAGAGTGGATCGCTCAGTCTGCACTGAATCCGTAGGAGACTTCCGAGGAGGAGACTTAAAGACGAGGAGCCTGGGATGACAAACCCGCACGTTCACTACCGACAGCGACGGCTGAAACACAGTTAACGAAACCCGGGGGTGGTCCTTTGCATTGTGATTTCTCATAAAGCATTTAAAGCCAAATAAGAACATTTTAGAATTCGTTTAACTTAGTGTGCTTGGAGTTTGCTGCATTTGTCTGTCCAACTCTAGCTGGAAAATTAAATGCCCTATCTCTCGTCTTAACTGCATTTCCCTATTGAAAATGTCTCCTTGGGGCGCCTGGGTGGCTCAGTCGGTTAAGCTTCCGACTTCGGCTCAGGTCATGATCTTAAGGTTCGTGGGTTCGAGCCCCGCGTTGGGCTATGTGCTGACAGCTAGCTCAGAGCCTGGAGCTTATTTTTGGATTCTCTCTCTCTCTCAGATCTCTCAGAAAAAAGAAACATTAAAAGAAAATGTCTCTTTACACCTTCCTTATAGGAAGTTGTCAAAATCTGTCCTTTACTACTTTTTGTATTTAAACAGCAATAAAGTTTTAGAACAGTTTTTCTTGTGTTTTATATGATGTATTGTAATACTTTAGAGTACCTGGCTCAGATTCTCCTTATTTTCCCCATCTCCTCCTGTGCCCAGACTTTGTACACAATATTCTGCTTATACTGAGGGCTCAGTCCACATTAATTGATTTGAAACATACCTTAAGGTGCACAGCGCCTCTCAAGAGGCGTAGCACATTTAATGTTTGTGCTGCTTCCTACTTTGAAAGTGCAGTGGGGCATGCTGACTAGAGAGTACTTTGTGTAAAAAAACCTCCTGACTACCTGCATAGTGCTGAATAAATATTTATACTTGAGTACTCTCTTATGTCAGAAATAACCTGTAGTTTAGCGCTCTTCTTTTGAAGCAGCAGGTACCTAGCCACTAGTGCATTTTAACTGTGTTTGAATTCACACACACAAACCCACCCAAAACTTTTGGTTTAGGGAGAGAGGGAAGGTTGTTGGGGCCAAAAACCTGGGAGAGGAGAAGGCTGCAAGAAAAGTGACACAATGATATGTCACTGTAATTTCAGCCTTATAATTATGCCTTAGACATAATAGAACCACAAAACGTCACTTGTTTAAAAGTAAAACACAGGTAGAGATGAATGGATAACAGTATCGAGGGTCTGCTCACAGATCTCAGGGTTTGACCCACCCCACTTCTGGGTTTCTTTGGTCAAATCTTGCTTTCCATATGGTGCTAATGTCATCAGCTAATTTGTTAGCTCAAACTCACTTCCTGCATTTATTTTTATGCCGCAGACTGCCCGGTCTCCAGGGCCAACGCTGAGTGGTAGCCGGGGTTGTGATCTGTTAGCAGGATCTCAAAACAAAATAAGCTGTGCACGCACTAAAAACAAATATACTCATAGTTCAAATCCAGAGACAACAGCAAAATTCCCTGAATTTATGTGTTACTGATTCTTTTGTTGTAGGCTAAGATTTTCTTTCCCTTTGGGAGTTCAGTATTTCTGCTTTAATTGTTGACTCTTGTAAAATCCCTCTTCCGAGACTCTCCCGAATTTTATGTGAACCAGGTGGGTACCAGGTGTACAGAAACCATAATCTTAGCAATGTATTTTTATTAGAAAGATATCCAAGGGATCAAATGACTCAGTGTTTAGTGGAAGTTAAAAAAAAAATGTTTAAATTGGTGGTACCTGGGTGGCTTAGACAGTTAAGTGTCTGACTCTTGATTTTGGCTCAGGTCATGATTTCATGGTTCGTGGGTTCATGCCCCGTGTCAGGCTCGACACGGATAGTTTGGAGCCTGCTTGGGATTCTCTCTGTCTCTCGCCTTCGCTCTCTGCCCATTTGCCACTCGTGCTCGCTCTCTCTCTCTCGCTTGCTCTCTCTCTCTCAAAATAAATAAGCTTAAAAATAATAAATTAAAAATACTTTTTGGTAGGTAAGTAGTTCACTTTTTTTATGTTTATTTTTGAGAGAGAGAGAGAGAGAGACAGAGAGACAGAGTGTCTCTCTGAGATGCAGGAACAGGGGAGGGACAGAGAGAAAAGGAGCCACACAATCCAAAGCAGGCTCTAGGCTCTGAGCTGTAAGCACAGAGCCTGACATAGGGCTTGAA